GGAAACTCGGGGACTGCGCCTACCTGATGAGCCCGAACTGGAAGGGCGAAACCGGTCGTGGGTTGTCGGAGAGTTTTCAGCAACCTTGTGAGTAGCTTCCTTTATGTGGGCTATTGTTATGTCATGTCCTAGAACTTCTGTAGGCATCTCATAAGTGTTCTGGGCGTATGGTAATGCAATTCTTTTGCCTTATCGAGTCGGTCGACTTACGGCTTCAAGTTACATTCCTCAGATAACCTGAAAACTTCATATGAATGTTTCCCTTTTATTTTGATTTCCACCGTATTTCGGTGTCTCATTTCTCTTGAACTGCGCCCCCAGACACAGTTCTGTATGTGACAGTTAGGTTGGCTTCTGTGTTAGTTCGGAGTTGAGTCGGTGAGCGTCGTCTTTCTGTTTGGATTTTGTCAATTTGGTACTCTAGTGACGAGCCCATAAAAATTCCGGCTTGCTGTCGATTTTTCCACTGTGAACTTCATGACGATGTCGGCACGAATGATGCCGAGACGTTTACAGGCTGGGTCAAGCTGGGCGAACAAATCAACAGCCCCCTGACTCTGTCCATAACAGTCCTTCTCAATTTTCTTTGGTAAAGAGTTTGGAACGGAACTGATTTTCAGGTCTCTGAGCGATCCATGTCAGACTTCGTTTTTGTAAAGTACTGGTCCCCCCCAGTAAAAGCAATTCTGCATCGACTTCAGAGACAAGGCACTGCGGTTCGTTCGCAAGCACGCTGATTGGTCAGAATACCGACCAATTGAAGTTAAATGTTTTGGCTCGGCATGTCACACCTCGTCTCAAATGCGCGAATGTTGGGACCGGGTTCTGTCCTACATCTTCAAGTCCATTCACGCTTAATATCATGCCTTCTGGTGCAACCGTGTTTTTGTTTATACCTAAGTATCTACGCTCGTTTTTGCGCTGCCTCTTTCAACATAGTTGTGAGTTGTTCTCCTTGTTCAAGTAGGCACGGGATTCCAAATTCTCTCCATTACGTCCCATGGGAACTTGGCTAGCACGGTGACCGACGAAATCAATTGGATTATTGACGTCCCGAAACGTATAGCTCCTCATTACTCTGGTCATCCTTCTGAAGTATGATCACCTGGAACATGTTCGAATTCTATTGGCTCTGTCGAATTCGTCATTGAAAGGGGTTGTTTTATCAGCAAGTGCTAATCTCCAAGTGAACGGTTCTTGAACTCTGACAAATAAGTGATCCAGTTACGCGCGACCTTTTCAACATGTTGAGAACCGCTTTCTGTTCCTGGCTTGGTGTCCAAGACACTATCAATCTGAACCTAACAGTGGTTTGGCTAATTTCATTAAAAAAATTAAGTGATATTGTGTGTCGCGATCCCGATTTACCATTGTTTTTTCCTTGATGTCTCTTAACGCGAGCTCTAGTCATGAGTCAAATTTTCCCACCTTCATAGTTACGGCCTCACTGAGACAAGCGCGTCCGGAACTCTCATGGAATGTGGGGATCTGCGATGTAACCACGTCGGGGCCCCAACTCCTGCTGTTCAAATCAAACTACGACCTTGGCCCGAAGGTGGATACTCACCACATGATAAGCCATCTCCTCGGGGTGAGGTTCTAATCGCTGGAGGTCCTGTGTCGAATGGTTACTTCAAGCAACCCGAGCTTACCGCACGGGACTTCTACAAGGATGAAAATGGTGTCCGATGGTTTTGTACAGGTTCGTTTCAGACGGCCTCGGATTTGAGTAGGCCGGATCATTTTACCTCCGTCCTCCAACCTGTGTGCCGTTTAATTGAGTGAAATATAACCAAAGGAGAACGGACACTGAACTATTTGGGACACCAAAGAGTAGCCACCTAATTTGTTAAATCTGTTCGTTCCACTCAATTGCACAGTGCGGCTAGATGACGGCCACGTGGAATGTTGATTATTGATCGATTGAATGACGTGTGGACACAAGCGGTCGTCCGCAAAGCAGGGAGTTTTCAGCAACCTAATGAGTAGTATGTTTCGTTTAGACGAAGAGAGTTATTTAGACTGGGTATCTTGAATGCGGACGAGTTGGGTTAATTGTTCTAAATGCTTGGAGATTTTGTGATGAAACTTTTGCAACAAAGCTGTTGAAGTCTGCGGCCAATTCGAACACGACTACAGCCTCTACATACATTTGGTTAGGAACCTTTAGTTTGGTCTCATCAACGTGTGCTACAACACTTTTTTTCAGCAACTAATGAGTAGTATGTTTCGTTTAGACGAAGAGAGTTATTTAGACTGGGTATCTTGAATGCGGACGAGTTGGGTTAATTGTTCTAAATGCTTGGAGATTTTTGTGATGAAACTTTTGCAACAAAGCTGTTGAAGTCTGCGGCCAATTCGAACACGACTACAGCCTCTACATACATTTGGTTAGGAACCTTTAGTTTGGTCTCATCAACGTGTGCTACAACACTTTCGACTGGTGCGTAGAAACGTGCAGATTACGCAATTTCGTCCCTTCATTTAGTCTATCGGCGTTCCGAACAACGTTACACAATCGAAGACATCACGTGTCAGTCCGGCCGGCCTGATCATGTCTACCAACGTCGCAACTAATTTTGGAAACCAATAATCCAGACAGAATGTGCGTGTTCCCAGAGGTGAATTGTCTCGGGTCTTTCTGAGTTCCCAATCCCCCCAAGGGAGAGGAAACGATCTTTTCTCCTGACGAGAATCGTACGGACAATTTTTCCCCAAAACTGACACACTTGTTTGTGGGGATACATACTCGTATTAACGGAAACTCAGATGAATTTCGTTTATGACATTTTTTGATTGAATTTCATTTGAGTTGCAAATGAGTGGTGTTTGCCTCAATACGTGTTCGATTGGGTGTTCCAGTAAGAGATTAGATTGATGAAGAATCGGGGACTAGACCTGCCTGATGAGCCACAAAAGGGCGAAGCCCTTAGTCAGCTGTTCACGGTTTTCACCGTATATATATATATATTTGTAGGTATGTTTCACCTCACGAGCTCTAGATGGTTAGTGATCAAGGCATAAAATTGCCAACCGAAAGTTCCATGGTTCGAACCCAGCCACAGCATTTGTACTGCTCCTGTCTGCACTCGAACAACCTACCAGTATCTCTGCCCTCGTGCTTCCATAGCGTGGCATGGTAGCTAGGTACGGAAAGTGTGTCACCGTAACATAACAGAAACCTCGTTCCCCTCGTATAGCCGGGAAGCGCAACTCCCTACACGACGGGCGA